ATTCAATTCATAGGTGAATTCAGGTCTTTTTTTTTTACCTGTGCTATTTTTAAGATGGAGAATACTGCCATTGTTTAAAGCAAATTATTTCTACTGTAAATATACCACATTTAATATTAATAAAGATGATGAAATGGATATTTCTTAGTTTCCTTAGTGCTGGACAGATGTTTTAGCCTACATTAAATCAACCTTGTTATTGCTATTCCTATGCAAAATTGGAGCCCTGACGATTTTGCTATTTATTTTGATTTTTGGATGCACTCAGAGGTCAAGGAAATAGCTCTTACAGTTAGTTGTGTCAAATAACTTAGGTCTTCAGACAAGTTTCTTGGTTTTTATTTTCCATTTTGCAGACTTGTTTGTTTACCTAGTAATAGAGATTCGTGGTCTAAAAAAAAGTACCAATAATCAATCTCTTGCTAATTCCCTTCCCATCTAAAAATAATGAAGTAGACAAGCTTAGCTATACTCTGCTCTCACATTCATATAAAGCATGGTTTGCCCCTGTAAAGCATCCATAGCTCCGCAAGGCTGGGGAAAGGATCACCTGTGATGCAGAACCCATTGTAATGAAGAAGTTAGTACTGGCTGGAGATGGAGGTAGAAGAGTATGCAGTACTAACAATCGCAGATATACAGACAAGATTATGCCAGAACTTACCATGTCCATGTGACTGTCTGAAAGACACACACACACACACACACACACACACACACACACACACACACACAGGCTCATATATTATACATGTGTCCCTCAGATCTGTGGATTTATGAAAAATGTAGAGAAGAAAGGAAAGAATAAAAATCAGGTTAGCAATATAGTGATCAAAGTACAGGTCTTCCAAACTTTGGGTAAATGTATTTAAATAGTTCTCCAACTCTGCAAAAATAACATTTTCTTAAACAATCTAGGATTCTTTTTAAAACTACATAAAATTTCAGGTAAAGTATTATAGATGGTAAATGACCTTTAACCACCTCATGAAGACATATTACCATTCTATTTTAATTACAACTTCAAAACTAAATGAAGTAATTAAAATTAATGAACAGACTATATTTTATAATGTCATGTAACGTTAACTTATCAATTTTGAAAGCCTTTTTATTGTGAAGATGATATACAGATGGGTTATATAAGTCAGGTAATGAATACATTTCTAATGAAAGCATACCAGTAAGAAAAATAAAGAAACAGGTAACACCAATCAGAAAAATAGAGTAAATTATCAGTACCTTATCTGGAAGTCAAGATAGTTTTATCTGAAGCAACTCTCTTTCTATGTGAAGGTTCAGCTTTGTTGCCTGAATCACCTGGTTTATATCTATCTGTATGCCTGGTCCCTGGTGGTTGAACAAATAACCTCTCAGGAATAAATAACAGATATAATTACATGACTTAATATCTGGTATTTCCTGCCAGTATGGGGGTTGAGAGTGAAATAAAGACCTTTTAATTTCATTTTATATTCATGCACAGTCTAATTGCCCCAAACACATCTCACTTGCATAATTTAGAAAATTACTCCAGTTTCCTGTATCCATTAATATCATTTTGCAAGTCCCTAAGTAGGCATATGTTTGTTTATGGTTTTAAGGACAGGGTCTCTCAATCTTCTTATCTTAGCCTCTCTCATATTGAGATTAGAGTATTTTATTTTAAAGAAATAAAGTATGAAACTTATAGGTACATTCCCTAAAATAAAAAAGAACACCAACTTTTGTTACGATAACAAAAATGAACAATTTTCAATTGCACAGGAAAAACTAGATTTGATTCTCATTGAAAACTTTTTCATTTCATCCATAATTTGCATATAAATAAATACAGTGACTAGAGACAAAAGCAGTAAGGTCCTATTTATTGTATTTATGCATTTACCTATTAGTAATGTCCTTTTGAGTCTTAATCCATTTTTCATACAGCAAAATGACTGGTTGTAAGTAAAAACATGCAAACTCAAGTGTTTCTTTGAAGAAACAGCCCACATGGTTTGATCAGAATGCATTGCACTCATAGTGACTCATAGTGAATTTCTTGAGTTTGTACATTTGTATTTGTAAACCAAAGCCAAATCTCAACCAGAATGGCAAGTTGGAAAAGTTGCACATTGTATTGTCAGTTAATTTCTTTTAGGCCAACCTAGCATTCAAGTATCATTTATGTCAGTATTAGTAGAAAGTGAATAAAGGCAATTGCAATGCAGACTCACAAAAAGAGAAAAGGAAAAACAATTGCTCCTTGAAATTATTAAAATTGATAGCCTGGATCTTTAAAGATGGAAATCTGTAATTTTATTGTATGTCAATCTTCATGGTACTCTTACCAGACTAACATCTTATGCAATAGTTGTTATGTGTTGATTGATATTTCAATAAAATATACAATGATCATATATATCAGCTATGTGTATTAAGTCTAATGTCATTGAACCACTGTAATAAAACCCATATATAAAAACATGTGCAAGAAAAAAATCTTTAAGAAGGGAGAAAATGTATCAGTTTATGCACCTCAAAACTATATATATATATATAGAAATTCATATCTTCTAATACTCTAAATTTATATTTTCTAAAACTTTAATTGGAGTACAAGTCATCAGTGTTGCAGGTTTCAGTATTATTTGTTGTGACAAGGGTTTTCCCTATGTTTCTACAAAGTTGGAATATTCACTGAAACAGAAATACTTTACCTTGGGAAAAGTAAAATTTATTGAGATTTTTAAAAGCTTTGATAATCCATCATTGCTTTGGTATAAGTAAAATATTTATACCAAATATTTCCAAATATTCATCTAGGAAAATAAGTATTGACATCTTTCTACCAGGTTAACTGAAAAATTGGTGTTTTGCAAGAGCTTTATTAATTCTCTGATGTAAATTTGGATGAGGAAGAGCTGGTTTTGTGCACCTTTTTATATTACTGCTGAAAGCCACTGGTTTCCAAACTTTCAAGGGCTTTTCGGTCTCTGGGATGCCTCATTTCCACAAGTTACCCTATGTTTAAGTAGTATACAAATTTTAACTTGAAATTATTCATGTGCCCAGAGTCTGGACCAAAAGTAAAATATATAGAGCATTTCAGAGATTGCACCTGAGCTTTAACATAAATTCACACATATTGTGATTGGTTAGTTACAGAGCCAAAAACTACATAGAAGTGAAATCACTCCATTTGTATTCTTCTATGTCTATCACTATTTTTCTTATGTGAGATTCTAACATCCTATTGAATGTGATCATAGTTTTATCATTTTTATGGCTATGTAGCATGCTGATAAGCAAACATACCATTTGCTCTTTAATAAAATTCAAATAATTTTGTTGTGATCATATTGCAAGCTTTTGGCTTGGGGCAAAAATTAAGGAATGAAACCTTGGGTTCACAAGATACACACAAAACACATAAAAACATTTATCCATACACACATTTATGCATATAATTACATGGCAATATAATAGACAAATAGACAATGATATAATACATATAATAGATAATCTCAATAATAGCAAGTATCAATATAAAGGATGTAAGATATAATAAAGAGTATATACAAATTACCATGACAGTATAATCAAAAGATGGCAATTGGAAAAGGGTCTCATAGACTGTGTGATGGGATTCTCCCCTTTTTAAAATAGGTGTGAATTCCTTTATACAGTGATGATGTAAAGATACACTGATTCCTGGCCCATATAATATTTGCAGATAGTTAAGAAGTCCAGAGTAATTAAACATTGCCATTTATCACTTTAGTAAAGCTACTCTCACCTATGAGGTCATTGACCATTATCACCCTATCTAACCAATGTATTTATTCAGCCTATCAGCAGTAAAGAACACTCTGTTCACGATAGATAGATAGATAGATAGATAGATAGATAGATAGATAGATAGATAGATAGATAGATAGATAGACAGATAGACATAGATATAGATATATAGATTTATAGATGTTTAAAAGTGTGGGATTTTAGGAAACTGTAAAATAATTGCATGCAGTAATTTATTTTGAAACACTGATTACTAAAGTAAAATATTTGAGACAGTTTAAAATAATTTGAAACAACAGTAAAGGAGTGTGTGTATAAATATATATGTATGTATATATTCCTATTTTGTAGCTATTTTTCTCAATCTTTGTGGAGCCTTTTTCACACCCTAATTTTGTAAGCTATAAATCATTGTATTCAGTCTGGAAATAAAAAAAGTATATAACAATGTTTTCTCTTTCTGAACAGTAGGAAGAACTTGGCCAAAATACATAAATAATATAGTTCTTTTAAAAACTTGCAACTAGAGTTTAGTGAGAGTCAAAAGTTGGAGAAAGTTGAAATAACAATAAGAGACAAGGGCTCCTGGAATGTTACTTGAACCAAGAAAATGAAATTTAGCGAATAACTAACTCACTGACATGTGAACTTAAGTAAGACAAATCACAAGGCTTTCAGAGAGGAGATGACTAATCACATTAGACCCACAAAAACAAAAAGAAAGCCAATATCACAGCATCAAGGATCTGGTGGTCCCTACATGTAAACTCCAGCTAGTTGGCAGAAGTATACTATAGAGGAAATATACATAGAGGAATCAAAGGCTATCAAAGGCTATCACTGCCATTGACAACCACTCAACATCTTTAAATATGCAGAAGATGTCTATGTATAGAACAAAACAAAAGAAAAGATTTTGATTTGTTCTTACCAAGTACATCTAACAGCATCTCAGGGACCAAACGTAGTGGAAGAACAGGTATCTGAGAAAGAGATAGGGCTGAAAAAAAATTCACTGTTCAATTTTGATATGGTTGGGTTATTAAGAGTCACTGGATATTTAACAAATAATATAGTTATAATGTTGGGGTCTTCTTATTCTTGCACATATTATATCAGATAGTTTAAAAGATGTGACATAAGAGTCACCTGTGCCATAAAATTTTGCAAAAACCATCACCAACATAAATATCCATGTTGGGCACATAACATTTATCTTAAAACCACCTTTTATTCTTCAGCTTTCCCAGGGCCTCTTTCACATCCTTGTTCCTTAGGCTATAAATCAGAGGGTTCAGCATGGGAATCACAAGGATATAAAACAAAGACGTCATTTTGTCTTGGTCCAGGGAGTAAGAAGTACTAGGCCGGAAATACATGAACAGCATGGTCCCCTGGAAAATTGCCACTGTGGTTAAGTGAGAGGCGCAGGTGGAGAAAGCTTTGAACCTGCCCTCAGCAGAGCGGATCTTCAAGACTGATGAGATGATGTAACAGTAAGAGATGAGGACTCCTGAGATGGTGCTCAGTTCAATGAAACCAAAAAGAGAGAATAAAACCAGTTCATTGACTTGTGTATCAGAACAGGAAAGGAGTAAAAGTGGAGGTAAATCACAGAAGAAGTGATTAATCACATTAGAACCACAGAAACAGAGACGGAACGCCAGCACTGTGTGTATCAATCCGTCTGTTGTTCCCACCACATAGACTCCAACCAGAAGTCGGGAGCGCACCTTGCTGGACATTTCTACTGCATACAGCAGGGGGTTACTGATGGCCTTGTAGCGGTCAAAGGCCATCACTGCCAGCAGCATGCACTCGGCATCTATAAAGATACAGACAAGCAGGAACTGCAGGGCACAGCCAACGAATGGAATCGAGGTGTTTTTCACAAGCAGGTCCACCAGCATCTTGGGTCCAACGGCAGTGGAATAGCAGAGGTCAGAGAAAGAGAGATGGCTGAGGAAAATGTACATAGGTGTGCGAAGCTGGGAGTCCATCCTGATTAAGGTGATCATGCCAAGGTTTGTCAAGAGAGTGAGGAAGTAAACCAGGAAAAACACAGTGAAGAGAACCAGTTTCATGCCAGGGTGACTGGTGATTCCCAGGAGAAGGAATTCACGTAAATAGGTGCAATTGCCACTCTCCATTCTGCTTCCTTCTGGGTCTGGTGGTTTACACGCTCACCTAAACAACGATAGATTGCTAGGTACAGAAAAAACCCCACTCATGAATCGGAACCTAATTGCATTCTGTAAATTGCTTGTTTGTACACTCAAAAAAAAAAGCCTTACCAGAGACCACTGTTCCTTTGAACAGAGACTTGTAGGGGAAGAATAGTTTGGAAGGGGACTGAAGGAAGGAAGATTCGGTGACTCTGACAAAGACGTCTTGTACACTTCATAAATGGACAAGTTAAGCTGTAATCTCCTTGTACATCTACATTAAGAAAAAAATCAAGTAACAACTAAACGTAAAATAGACACCATAATGTCAATTATTTCTCCTGTAGGAGGGAAGGTGACTGGAGAGGGTAAAGAAAAAAAAAGAGTATGGTCCAAATGCTTCCTCTGTGTGTGCAAATTAAACAATGAAGCTTGCTGTAATTGGTTTAAGAAAGGAGGAGGAAAGGAAGGCGTCAAAGAAGGTGCATTTTATGCATGTATGGCCATGCCAATATAAAACCCATTTGCCAAATTAATTGATGTTAATAAAATGTGAAAAAGAGGTTTTATAAATAAACAAAACTCTAATGCATAAAGTTGATTTTTCTCTGAACTGAAATGTGTGCATTATCCTTAAATACATGGTTTTTAATATCTCCATGACTGATGATATTTATTTTTGTATGTATTTTTATTGTAAACATATTGTACACAGGGGTTACAGTTACATGAGTAAGGAAAAGAGTATATTTCCTATTGAGCATTGTTACCTCCTCCTTTGTTTTTCCCCTACCATCCCTTCCCTCCCCACCTCCCCAGCTGACTGATGATATTTAATCTGTACCATTGATAGTTAGGTAGATGAGCTCCAGATCCCAAACTGTAAGGAGGGAATGTCAAATTGAAGACTGAGCATTTCATATCCTTACCAAAAATAAAATCTTTGTTACATAATTTGTTGTTCTTATACCATATTCCCTGGATTATTCAATATGTATTTTAAAACAAGTTTATAACTTACCTTCATTTACCTATCAGTTAATAATGAAAATTATTATAGTCCACTTTGGAGTGTTGCTAGGGATTACTGTAAAACAAAACATGTTTTATTGAGCCATTCTATCAGCCATCATAGAAGGCATAAAAAGTAGGAAAACAGATTAAAACAAATACATTTGCATATTTCTGACTCCAATGTTTTACTTAACTGAAAAAGGAAAAGATGGTAAATATTTTGGAGTAATTTTGCCTTTTATTCTTGTGGGTCATGCTGAGAATCTGAGTGCCACTTTGTTATTATTAGAAAACTGGACTGCATTTTGTGATTATCCCTGAAGACTGGGAATGCCCCTGGTCATCTATTATTACAGTAAATATGACTTGTACTCTATGTGACAGGAAATGATATATACCAGTTTCTGCAATATGTGATATCTATTGTACATACAGTTAAATAAAACCAAAACAATTAGATTTGCAGATAATGCATAGGTAATAGTTATTTTAAAAGGAGTTGTTTGTTTTAGATTTTATTAAAATAAAAATAATGATATAGTTACAATCTCTATACAAAGAAAAAGGCATTCAAATTCAGACAGTTTAAAGGAAAAGATCACTGATAAACAGGGAATATCAGATTTAGCAAACTGAATAGACAGGATCAATCTATTAATTTATTCGGTTCAACTTGATTTCTCATATTTCAAAGAGGCAATGTAACATTTTGTTTTTTGTCATTCTTTGCTTACAGCTCTTCTGAATCTTACCTGACATGATACCTTTGTCCATCCTTGGGTGAATGAACAAACATAGGTGGCATTTATTTTAAAATGATGCCTATTGGGACTTAAATTTTTTAAACATCTACATTCCCTCTTTTCTATAAACACAATTAATTAGTTTCAACTTCCCTCAGGCTTTGTTGTTACCGAAATGTGATTACATTTCTCTTGTGAATACTAGAACATCTTCAGCAAATATTAATCTTTCTTTTTATTATTTTTTAGTACCATTCCTGGGGATTAAACTCAGGACTGGGAACTGTCTCTCAGCTTTTATGCTCCAGGCTAGAACTCTACCACTAAACCCATAATTCTACTTCTACCTTTTGTATTATTAACTCGAGATAAGCGTTTCATGGGCTTCCTGCCAGGGCTGGCATTTAACTGAACATCTCAGTTTCTTGAGAAGCTAGGATTACAGATGTTAACCACTGGTGTAGAACTAATCTGGAGTTGTTATTGTACTCATATAGATTTATACCAAAGTGAAAGCAATGTCTTTTTAAAAATCTGTCTATCTATCTATCTATCACCTATCTATTAATCTATCTATGCCAGTTATTGGCACTTGAACACAGGGCCTACCAAGACTGTTTAGATGTTGGCACCCTAACACACCCAAACAACAGTTCCACTTTTGACTTTTTTGCTGGTTAGAGATCAGACTCACAGATTTTTCTATTCAGGCTGCCTTCAAATCATGATGCTCAGATTTCAACCCCCAGAGTAGATAGGAGTAAGGCATGAACCACACAACCTGCCTACAAGTTAATTTTATAGTGTAAAATATTAATTCACACTACTAAGTATACAATTCTTGTCAAACTGAAATACATTGAATGTAAAGTAACTCAAATAACCCTCCTACCCACCATACCAACTATTTCATATCATTCATCCTTTTTTCCACTTTTGAAGCACTTTCCTTCACTTCTCTAAGAGTTAATATGTTTACTTGCAGTGCTAGGAATTAAACCTAGGTCCTCATGGAAAGTAGACAAGTAATTTATCATAGACCTGTATTTCCAGCCCCTCTATATTACATATCTATCCATGTATATGGTTCATAGTCCATGAAATTATAACATTTAAAGCTAAGGCTTTTTTACTTTTAGTATAAGAACTACACAGAGAAGCCTTTTCCACTGGTTGCATCCAGAACCCTTCTGTTCATCTAAATTAGAAATATATCTTCACAGGTGGACACTATCTCTGTCCATTGCTCCCCAGTCCCTGGCAAACACTACTTTCTCCTAATTTATTTATCTGTTCTACGTATCAAATATAAACAGAATCATGTGATATGTAAAATTTTGTGCTTATATTTCCATTGGCATATATTTTCCAGGTCCATACATCATGTTTTAGAATTTCTTTCCTTTTTTTTGCTTTGAGTATTTTTGTTTTATGACTATCACAGTATTCTCATTTGTCATTTGATGAGCATCAATGTGATATTAGCTTTTGTGGCTTGTGGGAGTCGAAATGTTGGGGACATTCTTGCCTAGATGGCAACTTTCTCACACAGCACTGAATTGTTCTCCCTCCACCCCCAGCTTCCCTCAGCATTACACATGGGGTCCATGTCAGACTCTTTGCACTTAGCTCTCATATTTTTAGTTATTATTAATTTATTCATACAGGATTTAAAAAATTGTATTCAAGATATATTTGATGATTTTTTGTGTCTCTATACTCTCTGCTTAATCTAAATCAATACGCCAGATAATTGCTCAGTAAATCAGATCCCTAGGTAGCCTCTTCATAGTAGATACTAGTGAGCCAATAGTGGACATTTACATTTGATTTAGACATGTATTTTTTGTAACAGGATGAATTGTTTAACTTTATATATTTATATATATATATATATATATATGAGTCAAGTCCTACATTTTACTAAAGATAATTTTATTTGCCACTATCTATAATTCTTAGCAAAAGAATTATTAGAAGGCTAAATTTTACATATTCAGCAAGTAACAAGGAAATTCTCCATATTCCTTGAATCTTGACCTAGTAATATGATATTTCTTTTTTTTATAGTGAAAACAGGGGTTATACTGTGGGGGAGGGACATACAAAGCAACAAAGAAATAATCTTATAAATGTGTTAGAAACAAATGCATGAAAGAAAAAACATTTAAATACATATCTAAGGGTTCATTTTCCTAACATGACATTATCTGACCTTTTCTGCTTGACTCATTCATATACTAGATATTGCAAATAAGGGAAA